AAGGGAGCGGGGTCTTAGCATGCTCTCTGTGAGTTTTCTTTTCCTATAAAAGGGAGCGGGGTCTTAGCATGCTCTCTGTGAAGTTTCTTTTCCTTGGAAATGAAGCAAATATTAGCTTGAGTTTATTGTGAGTTATCTGTACATGGTAGTAATTTATTGACAAATTTAAGCTGAGAGAAAGTACTTAAGTTTATAGAATTTGGGGAATCTAAAAAGTAATACTCTTCATTCTTGAAGAATACCTAAAATACTCAACTATTGTATTATATCATTATTGTATTAAATATCGTTGTAATAGAAGTCTATAACTTGCATCAAAAATTATCCTGAGAGTATGAATTCTATTTATGACCATTTAGTAAATAATGTATCTTAAAATTATTTTACAGGACACCGAGTTTCCAGGTGTTGTTGCAAGGCCCATTGGAGAATTCAGGAGCAATGCTGACTATCAATACCAACTATTGCGGTGTAATGTAGACTTGTTAAAGATAATTCAGCTAGGACTGACATTTATGAATGAGCAAGGAGAATACCCTCCAGGAACTTCAACTTGGCAGTTTAATTTTAAATTTAATTTGACGTAAGTGGGAAATAAATATATAACCCCAACATTTTTGTTTCTAGCTTAATTTTAGAAATTGAATTTGAATGTAGTGAAATTTTACATTAATTTGCTATAGTTTCCCTGGAAATTTATTAAATATAGAATTTCAAAAACTTAGGCTTCTTATTAGGCAAAAAGAACTGAGATAATAAAGACTTCTAATTTCAAAGACTATTTAATTACAGAGATGTTATTTCTAAAATATTACTGCTGCTTTTCTGGAAAGTTGTAAAACTTTATTTTTGTTTTCTGTTGTTCGTGGTTATTTAAGGTGCTGCAAAAATAAACTTAGGGTCCTAAAGACATAAATCTTAGGATATTGATTTTACTATTGCATTTTGTTGTTGTGTTGCTCCTTTGAGACGGGATCTCCCTACATAACCCAGACTGACCTAGAACTTTCTATGTACACAATTCTGGCCTCAGACTCCCAGAGATCCATCTGCTTCTGTCTCCCGAGTGCTGGGATTAAAGGCGTATGTCACCACACTCACATTAAAATTCATATAACTGGGGAGGCACTTTTGCTGACTAAGCAAGCAGGTACCATTCAGCTACAATCCACTTTAGATTTGTTAAGATTGTCCTACGATGATATTTTTTTTAATTACACTCATTCTTTGCATCTTAAGTGGGCACTTATATCGTGCAATAAGTTGTTTAAAGTTAGGTATATTTTGTTTTCAAATCTGTGTGCTTTTATGACTATTCCCAGACAACCCACAAAACCTCTTGATCTCATACAAGAAATATAATTAATAGTATTCTTGAACCTTTGATATTCCAGAATCTGATGTCTAACTCAAATCTTGGTTCTAAATTCCATTTTCTTCATTTAAGTGCTTGTACATATTTACTGCAACCTTGATAACAGAGGGAAGATGTGAAATTGAATCCCTTCTTTTGACATTATGACACAATGTTGTTTTTGAATGTTTGTTTCTAAATTTTCAAAGTTCATGCTCAAGATCCATGCAGTGGAGTTTTAAAAAATGACAATCACAGATTTTTAACCAAGTTTACAATTTTGTGTTGGGACACATTCATAACTATTGTGGAGCTCATGTGACTTCTGAACTGCAGGTTGTAAGTTCCTAGTAGGGGACAGGGGTATATTATTTCTGTTAAGGTAAGGAAATAAAACATGCAGTATACTCTGCACTATATAGCAATATTTTAGTGCTTTTATATTTGGTAACCTGTATCTGTACAATATGATCAAACATCTCATTTGAAAAATAGCAACAGAAACAATAGGAAAATTAATGCTAGTGCCATTGTAAGACTTCTTTGATCCTCATCTTTGTTAAAGATGTACTGTTTAACATGTAAGACCTAATGAATAGCAGGACTGATGGTATTAAGGGGTATTAGTGGTGTAGCTGTGTATCTTTAGGATGCATTGTATTAACTGTAAATAATACTGATAGTATTTTAATATCTGTACTGTAGTGACAGTAGTCTCTCTAGAGCCTGTACTGGCTAAAGGTGTGCTCATTGCAGCTGTAACTTTACAACGCTTCTTCAGGGCTGCAGATCTGGAACAAACTGAAAATTGACTTCCATCCTTTTCTCAAATGAAGACTTTCTTCATCAGTTTTTTTTGTTGTTGTTGTTTCAGGATTCCTTTTTCCCCCAAACTAATCATCAGCGTTGTTTTGTTTTGTCTTGTTTTTTGCTTGTTTGGTTTTTTTGATTTTTTTTTATATAAGATACTTAGTTTGTGACAAGTAGCTAATATATCAAAGTGTCAGATGGTGAAGTTGGTAGTTTTTGCTAGGTAGTAGTTTTTGTAGCAATGGCTTTCCAGTTAGTCTCTGAGAAGTGTTTTTCCTTATTCAGAGGAAACTAGTTTCACTGCCAAGTTTTGCTGCTCTTTATACTAATGATAATGTCATGGGAAATGGTAAAGGAAAGAAAATAAAGGCTTGTGGGAACGCTCAGTGCATAGGTACCTGCTGCTATGCTTTCTAAGGATGATGCTCAGAACTCACACGGTAGGAGAGAACTGACTGACTACAGTTGCGCTCTAACCCTCACATGTGTCCATGATGGACATGGATACACACACACACACACACACACACATACACACACATACACACAGAGAGAGTAAATAAATGAAAAATGAAGTTTAAAAAATTTAAGAAGACTAAGTGAAAAATATTAAGCAGAGCAAAAGCCATTGCAAATATAGAAGTACTGCCTAATGTGGAAAATGTCAGGATGGCATCTTGGACATGTTGAAGAAGGGTGAAATTGACCTTGTTGAATGCCTAGAAGGAATGTGTCCATGTGCAAGGCTCTACAGAATGAGGGCCATTGCTCAAAGTTATGTCATGACTTCCCTTCTCTCTGCCTATTGTCTGCGCTTGTGATTGTTCTTGTGTTTCGTTTCCACATTGGCTCTAGGTTTGCCAGTGTTCTTCAGGTTTTGCCATTAATATCAGGGAGAATTATTATTTCTCAGGTGTAAATACGAAGATTTAGGATATGGAAAGATATTTATGGTTACAGTGTGTCACGTTAATAGATACTTTTAGTAGATTTGAATAGATGCTTTTAGAGTAGAATCCATATAAGAAATACTTGCACTCATTTCAAGTTTTAGTTGTATGTTTGCGTTCTCTGAATCTTTGCAATGTGATTTGTAATATCTAAATCAGTGTTATGTAACACACATTTAGGAACAGATAATGGTCTTTATGTAAAAATGACTTACTTTAGACATCCTGGTATTTTTATCACTGTAGTTACTATGCTTATTTTGGTGTGGACTTGAAAGCAAGTATATCTTTACTACTGTTTGTTTTAAAGCAATGGTTGTTTGCTTCCTTTTTGCAATGCTTGATGTTTTTCTCACAGTGCAGTATGTCACCGCCTTAGTTAAGGAGCACAGTGGCTGTTCTGCTACCCTGAATTAGAGCTAAGCTTTAGTGTTATGGAGTGAACTCAAGTTGTGGCCATGACTGCAATTATAGCCTGAAAACTGTTGGTTTTGTTTTAGTCGTATTTCCTTACTATATCATTATCTCTTTGGGTGTGAAAGGTCATTGGCGAGGTAAGCACGTCTGCCCTGTGTGGATTTACCAATATGAGGGGTGGGTGGGGTTTTTGTGTTTCGTTTGTTTTTGAGATAGGGTTTCGCTATGTAACCTTGGCTATCCTAAGACACTAGACCAAGCTGGCATCAAAATGAGAGCTCCGCCTGCCTTTCTCTCTGAGTGTGTCACCACCATCTGGTTTTTCCCCCCCTTTGGTAAGGGCTGGCTGTTAACTTTAAAGTATATTTGTTTTAGACATAAAGAAAACCTAACTATAACAAGGTGAGACTGACTTATAAAGGATATTTACTGATATTTTTTGGTTTGTTTAGAAAAACTAACATGCTTTTTGAAACAGGCTAGTATTTGAAACATTGAAACAACTATTATCAGTTTCCCAACACTTCCTTCTAATTGGTTTGTAACTATTTTGCTATAGTTTGGGTATATATTAAGGTCATTTGTATGTGATATTGCTATTCAGAGTTCTCAGTAGTCATTTATTTGACCTTTTCTTAATGTACTGTAGTATATCTAACAATTTGCTATGGTTGGATGATTAGGCTATGTATTTCAGGTTCTTCTTTAGTGAGATACTCTATGGTTCCTGACTTAAGATGGGTTAACTTACCCACTTTTTACTTTATAATGGTACAAAAATAGTATGTATTCAGTAGATGAGACATTAAATTTAGAAATTTAACCTTTTTCTTGGGCAGCACTGGATAGTCTTGCAAAGTGCTGATTAACAGTGGCAAGCACCATCTCCCCATCAGCCACTTTCTTGTATGTAAACAATGTTTACATTATTATTACATTATTTTGCATTGTGCTCTGCTGCCAAGCAGCGATGCTTGGTTCCATAGGTAGTTTAATAATGCTTCCAGCTTTCGTTACCGTGTTTCTCTGAGTCCTAATCAGTTTATCAGGATATACCATCAATCATGGAGTATCTGTATATCTTTAGCAAACTTTGTGGTTATTTTATTGGAAGTAGAAATCTAAATCAAAAGTAAAAACATTGTTAAACTTCATTTATTCATTCACAGAATGAATAGTTAAGTATGTTAAGTTAGTTTTGGCTAGGAACATATGCACATATTGAGAAACAGGCAGGTGGGCTTGCTACTGTTTTTTGGAAGTTGTAGTCACTTGCAAGTTGAAAGTCCTACCCTGCTTCATTCATCAAATAATAAATATTGTATTTTTTAATAGCTTGCTAATTTGACTTGTGGGAATTTTCTTTTTATTTGTCTTTTTGACCTTCATAGCCTTTGTAGTTTTAGGGTTATTTTTGTGTTGCTAATTTATTTGAGTTTATTAAAAACTAAAGGTGGCTAACCATCTTATGATTTTCCAGCTTACTTGTATTTTAACATGATGATAAATTGTTTTATATTGGAGTTTCTATTTTTATGAAAACAATTTTGACTTATAAAGAAAGTATGTGTATGGGAAGTAAGTGACATTTAAATAAGGTACTGTGTCAGCCCTGTGGTGGTTATCTGAGAGGTGATCCAGAAGTAGTTTAATGTTAATGAGATCACATGTTTAGAAATGTGAGTTTTTTTAATAGGGTTTGTTCATGTTATAAAAGTAGTAAATTTGATACTTTTACATAGTTGAGTTAGTAGGATATTGGATCTCTAGGATATTAATGTAAGATAGCTATATACTTCTACCTCTGAGAAATCTGTGCAAATTTTTACATGGTTTTTACTCATTTTCAGTCATACCTAGATATTTTGCTATCTTAAACATCAGTAGTTGATTAATCTTTAATACTATTCATAATTCTGAACAATAGATCTAATAGGCAGTATCCAACACCAGCAGAAATTCTTACATTTTGACTAAACATTGTTACAGTTACTTTTTAAGGTAGTTTTAGTATTTTTCCCCTTTATTGCTAGAGTACTTAAGAGTAAAGAAGGAAGAATGCAGAACTTTTCCAACCTGATATCATCAGAAAAGGACAGTGAATTGATTTGGAAGTGTGACTCATTTAGCTTACTATAGAAAATTTCCTTCGTCCTATCTAGAGATTAATCTTAGCCATATGGTTATGAGTTGGGTATCATAAAGCATGAGATCTGTACCACACTTTATTATGAAAGACTCATTTCTACAAAGCTTACCCCAAGCTATGCGCACTCTGCAAAATAGATAGAGAAAGGAACTATACTTACTACCTATGTCTTTGTTTGCCAATCTTACCTTATTATAAAATACCTGAGGTTTTCCTGAACGGTAATTCAATGGGTCTGGGACTAAAATCCATATATTGGTAAGTCCCTCTGGTGATTGTTATTATTGGACAGGTTTGGGAAATGGTGACTTAAGTACCACAAAACTCACTGACCTGCCTTATTTGTATATTATTTGCATAATAAAGTAAGTTGAGCATGTGACTAAGAGCGATGTGAGCCTGGAGAACAATCTGCTGTACTCTTGGTTGGTTGCACACGTACAAACATGCTTCATGTGAACCCAAGGACCTGGTGGTGAGAGTCTCATGGAAGGGACATAGTTTAACAAAGTATTGATTACTTAAATGGAAAAAAAAATTCTTCATTTATTTATTTTTTTCCCCCAAAGGGTTTTTCAAGAGAAACGATGATGTACTGTGATGATTGTGGCTCCTCTCTGTTTTTAAATGACTCAGTTCTTGGCTTTGTTATTTACTTCCTGACAGTCTGGGAACTAAAAGTGACCTTTGACGTTGTGTGAGAAATTAATTTCCAGACAGTAAACTACAAAAATATTTTTAATCAAAGTCAAACATTTATTTTGATTTTGTTAGTTTTATTGAAGTCTTTTATAGAAGTTTTCTTTCATTAATAGGAGAAAAAACAAAATCTCCTGAGTAAATTGGGAGCGTGGGCTAAACCAGGAGGGTAGAATGGGAGAGGTGAGGGGAGCAGAGAAAAAATGTATAGCTCAATAAAAACAAACAAACAAAAAAGAAACCAATGTTAAGTTAAAGAAGTATATAAAAATGGTAAATCCACAAAAATACTTTTTCATAAATCCTTGGTTCTAATACAATGTTATGGATACTTAACATATTTGTGCTTGGGAATTAGAGGTACTTTTTTTCTGGTTTAAGTAAAAATTTGAAGGGCTGGCTTATAGGTAGGTTTTTGGCTTGGCTTTAGAAGTAGTCTAGATTGTGTTCACCTCTAATGTAGGTATGTGGTTGCGGGAGGAAGAAACTGCTGTCATAACTGAGTCTGTAATTCTGAACAGTTCACTGCTTACTGGAGCCACTGAAAGGCTCCTCATTTGTGAGAGGAGGCATCTCCTTTGGGATGTAGTTTAACTCAGCCACTGAGATGTTTGCCTCTTGGTGAGCATGAGAGGTGTGCATAGCCCCTCGTAGCTGTAGCTACAGTTCCATCTGGCAGCTCCAAAGTGGCTGCAGAGACTGAGAGCTCCTGAGCAGTGTGGTAGCCTCTCGTGAGTAAAAGACCCTTTTAAACCCAGTGAAATTTATATAATGTGTAGAAGCTAATGAAATTGAGTTGATGGTTAGGGTTAAAAGCTGCCATTGGACTGCTATGCATGATTATTTACTTTTTGGATACTTTAAATTTTGTTTTTCTTGAAAATTATGAAACTCTGAGTTGGACACAAGCCAACCGTCCTGTCTTGTTTCTGCACTGTAGTTGGAGGTGGAAGTTGTGCAACAGCTGTTTAGCTGTGGAAAGTAATGGAGGTCTTGAACATCGTTTTTCTCTTTCTCCTGCCAGGGAGGACATGTATGCTCAGGACTCTATAGAGCTACTAACAACATCTGGTATCCAGTTTAAAAAACACGAGGAGGAAGGAATTGAGACCCAATACTTTGCAGAGCTTCTTATGACTTCAGGAGTGGTTCTATGTGAAGGGGTCAAATGGTTATCATTTCATAGGTAAAAATAAATTTTAAAAAAGATTGCAGTGTGCTTCCATCCTATCTCTACCTTACACTTGCTTGGCTATATCAGAAATTCTATGCTTAGTTCTAGAAAGAATTAACTACCATGAGAGGCTGTCATAAACCTTATTTGAGAGTAGCCTGTTTTACCTCTTAACAAGCTTTGTTTTAGCCTGTGAGAGGTAATGTTGCTTAGTGAAAAGAATGTAAGCTAGAACAAACCTTTAAAATTTGGCAAATTTTTGAAGATTTGTGTCACCCATGGTTGTTAACTATTTTTAAGTCTTAGTTTTTATGCTATAGAAAGGAGGCCATTCATTAAAAAAAAAAAAAAAAAAAAAAAAAAAAAAAAAAAAAACACGCAGTGGTACTTTAACATCAGGGTAGCCACTGTGCTAAGATTCTAAAACTTAACACAACAGACTAGAATTTTCCTCTCTGTGTAGTTTCTTTTCTGCTGAAGGTAAATCAACACTTTTTTTTAACCTTATTTCTAGTGTGGTTTGTTACATAGTAATGCGTGCTATGAAGAATAACTAATCAACAGAGAATGCCAAGAATGGATATGAGGCGATTTTTAATCTTTTTTTTTTCTTTTCTTTTTTAGATGATGTGTCTGGGAAGGCTATCCTTAGGGGGGAAGATGTCTTGCAGATTTTTCTCAGTGGTCATTTACAACCTTTTGTATATGTGGGCGGGGGGGGGGAGTTAAGACAGGGTTTCTCTGTAGCTTTGGAGCCTGTCCTGGAATTCATCCTGTAGACCAGGCTGGCCTCAAACTCACAGAGATCCTCCTGCCTCTGCCTCCTCTAATTCTGGGATTAAAGATGTGCACCACCAACACCCAGCCAATTACAACTTATTTAAAGCATCTAGTATTTTATATATTTTTTCTATGAATGACTTTTAATTCTTTATTATTATAAAAATAAAACTGGATAGTTAAGGTTTCTACAAGGAAGTTAATTCACTTTTATAAAAGTTAATTTACTTTTAGTTGTGACAAAATGTTTTCCTTTGTAAGTCAGCTGATTTGTCATTTCTGAGAACAAAAGTGATCGGTTTTAACAGTGTGTACTGTGTTGCTGGGCATAGTGACACAGCGTCTTTACCTCCAGCACTCGGGAGGAGAGGCAGGAGGATCTCTGATTTAATAAGTTCTAGGCCAGTCAGAGCTCCACAATCAGACCCTTCCTCAATTTTAAAACCAAAAACCAAATAAAAATAAAACAGCAACAAAAACAAAACAAAATCCCAGCAGTGTACTCAGGTGTTAGTGCTCTTATTTTTGATAGCCTTCACATGATTTTTTTCATTAAGAATCTTCCACATGGAATGATTGTAGTGTTGGATGATTCCTGAAGTAGACTTTGATATGGTATTATATAGTGAGTTCTAAGTTGTAAGTACTGAAAGTAAGAATTCTCATATACCAGCTTTTCTCTATGTTCTTACTTGTAAAGATGTAAAATAACTAATTCTTTTAGTTTGTATACTACATCTGCTTACAGCAGTTCTGCATTGCAGTTATAAGTGTGTGTCTTTTCTTCCTATGTGCACATTTTTGTTCCTATTCCTTTTGTCTATAGCATGATTTATTTAACTTTGAATCTAAAAAACTAATTTCTTTCATTGTTATTGATGGGATTATTTTTTGTATTCTTTCAATCTTTTTATTAGTGGTTATGACTTTGGCTATTTAATCAAAATCCTGACGAACTCTAACTTGCCTGAGGAAGAACTTGATTTCTTTGAGATCCTTCGATTATTTTTTCCTGTCATTTATGATGTGAAGTACCTCATGAAGAGCTGCAAAAATCTCAAAGTAAGGCTTCTGGGGACTTTATCTGGAACAGCGCTTCAGTTATCCGTAGTTCCCTGCAAGTCGTGGGGTCGCCTAAGACCATCAGAAAACACAGAAATTTACATTAGACTTCCTAACAGTAGCAAAATTACAGTTGTGAAGTACCAATGAAAATATTTTATAGTTGGGGACCACTGTAATGTAAGGAACTGTATTACAGGTCACAGCATTAGGAAGGTCCGGAACCACTGAGTTAGCTCAAGTAACTAGCATAATGTCTTAGGCCTAATGTGTTAAGCCATGCTTTCAAAGTTATGTTAAATGCAGTTTAATTATCTGATCCTGTTGTTCTTAACAGAAATAATAATGTATAGATACTCCCTCTGAATTTATGTTGCTGTATTTATGTTGATAGGGTAGGTGTTGGTTTGGGTTTGTTTTTTGTTTGGTTGTTTTTTTGTTTTGTTTTGTTTTAGACTTATTTATCTTATGTATATGTATTTTGCCTGCATATGTGTCTGTGTACCAAATGTGTGTGTGCCTGCTTCCCGAGGAAGTCTGAAGAGGGCATTTGATCCCTTAGAATTGTAGTTATGGATGGTTGGAACCACTCTCTGAGTGTTGGGAACTGAAAGGCTCTTAACTGCTGAGCCATCTTTCCAGCCCAGAGTAAGGTTGCTTTTTTTTTTCTTTTAGAATTTATGTATCTGTTCCTGTGTAAGTGAGTAGCTAGAGCTGGGAGTAGCAAGACGAGGGTGTCAGACCCTCTGGAACTGGAGTTATGGACAATTTTGAGTTACCCAGTTGGTGCTGGGAACTGAACCTGGGTCTTCCACAACAGCAGTTAAGTGCTCTTAGCTGCTGGACCAACTCCAGCCCCAGAATAAATTTTTAACAAAGGTCAAGCTAAAGGTCAGATTTTTGTTATGGCCACCAGATTGAGAATCATGAACTGAAAGAAAGTGTGAGGAGTAGCAGACTAATGGATCCCGCTAGAGAAGTGCTCACATCCAGCACACAGTGTCATAGAGAGGCAGGCAGAGACAGCCACTAGTGTGCTAATGAGTTTTCCTTCAGATTGTCCTGATTACAGACATTGTTCTTTGCTGTTGAGGTGTGGTGTCTTTATTATTTAATTAGATAGCTAGAACTGGTTTGGTGTAAGTACTGTAGTAAATGGGTAGGTTCTACCTAAGCAACAGCTTATCCTGATGTAACCATTTATTTTTAACCTTTGAACATTAATTTATTAAAACAAATATGTCCTGGCTACAAAAAAAAAAAAAAAGCATTTCTTCGGCTTAAGAGGAAATTCTCCTGAGTTGGCACAGATCCCTGGTAATACAGTGAGTGGGGTTTTAGCAGTTGGGTTTTGATATAATTTTTAAGTTATAACTGAGGAAACGAAAACAAATTTAGGTACTGTGGTTGTGTTATAGTCGGTATTCAGTAAAACCAAGGTTGATCAAGTTTTCTCTAACTAGGATTCAGAAAAGTACAGTTAGGGTTTTAGAAGGTAGTGAGGACTTTAAGCGTTTCCCTTAGCAGGAATAGAGGAATTGAATGTGGAGGCTTTGATTTCATAAGTGAACTGCCAGCAGAATATCTGACTACTTACACAAATGGATGGCATGTTGAGAATCCAAGGTTTCAGTGTTTTGATCTGGCTCTGGAATTTTTATTTATTTATTTGTAATTGGCACCTTGGTATAATAATAGTTTTCAGAAACAGAAGTAATAAATTTTTACTCATCTTTATTCAAAAATGTCTAAAGACACCAAATATTTTTATTATGTACTATGTGAACTGTTTATGTTAAAACGTTCAGGTTAGTGACAAGGTTCCATTCATTCATTTCTCTTCTACTCCTGTTACAAGCAGCTGCTAATGATACATAATGCACATGCTGCTTTTAGTACAGAAACAGCTCTTTGCAAAGTACTATCAAAGCGAGGCTGTGAAGGTCTGGTTTGTTAGTAAAAGCTTTATAACTTACGGAGGAATTTCAGAATTAGATTCTATTTCTTTTATTCTCATTTTTCCTTTCACACTATTTTTTCTTTAATTTTTCTCAGTCCTAGCTATAGCTATAAGCAGATCATACTAAGCTATTCCAAAATGTTTTATATTTGAAAAATTTTCTGCTGACAATAAAACTAAAGTTGTGTAATACATTGACAATGATCTAAATACTCATGATACCTTTGCATTATTTAGTTTTAAACAATTTAGTGAATAGGTGGATAATTTTAAACTGCCTGTACTCGTTACTGAGTTTTTTAATGTTTGATGGCTCAGTACACTGAGTACAGTTGACTATTGTTTTGCTGAACATGAACTGTTTTCTCCCAATCTTTGGGAAATGGTTTGTCTGTCACATGCCTTAAAATGCCTTAGAATGAAGATAAACTTTCCTATTAGAATTTCATTTTCTGATAAAAGGCTTTTAAATTCCACAAATA